TTTAGAAACAAGCTTGTGGCTCAGATCTTGATTCTTCTCTTCTCTTCTCCTCTTCTATTTTTTTTTTTACTTTTTTGAACAAAAATAAAACAGGGGATGAGTTCTATGGTTTAATTGGGTTTTGCTGGAGAACTTTAATACTAGATGGATTTTGCAGAAAGACAAAGAGGGGTTAGTCTAGGTTTTTTAAAAGAAAAAGAAAAACATAAGCTTGCAATTTCTATCTTGATAACTTGGATCTGATGCATATGAGAGTATAAGATGAGAGGAGAGGGGCAAAGAGGAGAGAATCTCTGTGAAAAGAAAAGGAGAAAAAAAGGCGAGAAGAAGAAGAGAGAGGAGAGAGACCAAAGTTGATGGGCAAATAAGTAATTGCTCATGAAAACTGCCGGTGTTAGTTTTCTTAACGTTGACCATAGAATACAGGGGTTAGTTTGTTACGTTTTGTAGTTTAGGGGAGTATTTGTGACAGACCCTATAGTTCAGGGGTGCAAACTGTACTTTCCCCTAAATTATATACATACACACGTGTGTGTATATATATATATATGGGGCTCTTTGACATAACCCCCATTACTTTTTTTAATGGAGATAAGCCCAAAATATTTTAGACCATTTGAGAAAAGTCCAATTCCAATTTCAGCTATTATGCTTTCCAGCTTTACCCCCGCCCGCCACCTCATCACTAGGTCACACGCTCCGCGTTTTTTTTTTTCCGTTTTTTTAATCGACTATGAAGCATAGTCGATTAGTCCTAAATCGACTATGCTTCATAGTCGATTAAGGAAAATCTTTATTTTTTAACTTTTTTTTTTTTCTAATTTTGTTTTTAAATGTTTTTTGGTTTTTTTAATTTTTTTCTCTATCAGGTTTATTAATGCATAGTCATAAAAAATCACAATTACAAAAAAATACAAAATCAATTATATTTAAAAAAAATACAAACATTGTAATTGATTTATACATTGGAGTCAATAAAACAAAAAATCAAAAAAAAAAAATTAACAATTAGAGTCGGTTAACCTTAATCGACTACTGAACATAGTCGATTAAGCCTTAATCGACTATTGAACATAGTCGATTAAGCCTTAATCGACTATTGAACATAGTCAATTAAACCACGTAGTCGATTAAGGGCCCGGCCTGCGCGAATTTTTTTTTTCTGCGCCGTCTTCCGCCAAAATCCACAAAAAAAACCCTAGATCTGTTCTTCATCGTCACCACGTCGTCGCCACACCACAGCATCACCATCCCACATCTATATTCTAACTGTTTTTTACGAAGTTCTCGTCGGCGAACTTGGCTCCATAGATCGACTCGCCTCCGGTGCCGTTTCCGGCGGTGAAGTCGCCTCCCTGGCACATGAAGTTGGGGATCACGCGGTGGAAGCATGAGCCCTTGTAGTGGACTGGCTTGCCAGATCTGCCGACTCATTTCTCTCCGGTGCAGAGTGCGCGGAAATTCTCGGCGGTCTTCGGAACGACGTCGGCGTA